ATTGATTATGATCGTCAGCGGTCATACGATCAATACCATCATCAACAAACCTTATATTTTTAAAGTATGTGACAACCCAAAATTCGCCGTTTTGCTGAAAATTTTCGAAACTTCTTTTATGCTTTTATTTTACAGCCAGTGCATATAAGATTCCAAAAACACACTATTTTTGTTTCTATGATATTTAGAAGCAAAGTTATAGAATAATTAGTAAACCGGAAATGGAGTTTACAAAACCGGAAGTAGATTCCTAAACAAAATATTTAAGATATTGAACTGAAGTTTTCAGAGCATGTTTTACTTAGTTCTATTTGTGTTTTGAATCAAAATTTAATCTATGTGTATATATTTATGTACTTTATTGTCTTATTATAAAAAATCACTAATTTTGTTAAAAAATCTTGTTTTTGCATAAAATTTTCAAACGTTTTAGTAATCTTTTAATTCCTAACACATATTCGGATGTTGTTCAGGTACTGTATAAATATTACTTGAATACATTTATTGGAATTTTGTGTAACTTCAATTTTTCATCAAAATTTCACTAAAAACGACAATTGTTATAGTCTATAAAACGCTCCAGAAAACAACAAAATATTGAAAAAAGTCGGAATTTGTTAAACATGAAGCTAAAAAGATATTGACCTATAAATATGGTCAGTTTAAAAAATGTACAATTAGTAGAAATATTTGTGTACTGCATTAAAGTCTTTCAATGCATTTTCTGAGAAACTGTTTTTCAATTTTTTGCTTCACGGTGAAGTTCACTACATGATTTCTGCATAAAAAAATGACCTTTTTCCAAATCTTTCAAGAGTATTACAAATCTGCTAGCCCTAAACACAAATAATGATGTTATTTACTGTATAAATATTATTCAAATATATTAGAAATTTCAATACAAGGCTTACCGTAACTGCAATTTTTCACTAAAATTTTCCTCAAAATTCCCAATATATCCAAAATTATTTCTAATTTTGTGGATATTGTACTTGAATTCCTAGTTTTATGTCCCATTTCAAATAAAAAAAGTGTTTATTTCGTTGAAAATTAATATATTTTTAAAAAAGTTCTACGACAAAAGTCCAATTTATATAAAAAAAAGTACTAGTTTTTGCATACAATTCAACATACACTATATTCAAAAGAAATTTAATAATCTATACCTATATTCATTTCTTTCATTTTTATTGCGCGCCTTATTGTTGTTCTTAAATATTATCCTTCGTTTTCAAAACTCTTTATTTTTAATCAATCTGAAAATGTTAGATCGATAAAAGAAAAACTAATCAAAATGAACCCAAAAGAAAAAAAAATAGCTCTAAACAAATTATAAAAAAACACAAAGGAGTGTTCTAAAAGATAAAACGGATACAATTTCAAAAAATTCAAAATTAAATAAATAAATAGGATTTGTTCTAAAGAGAAATATTCTAAATAAATAACGTGTTTCACACACACACAATATGCCACTTCAAATTTTTTGGCTTATCTTCAAAAACAATAATAATAATAATAATAATTAAACCTACCTTAATTTTCTACGTGCCGAGAGCGATGTTGAGAGTTCTTGTAATGAATTTTAGTTAAGAAAAAAAACAAGACGCGTAAAAGTATTGCAAGCCAACTGAATAGAACAAGTGAGTATATATTGATAAATGGCGAAATTCAGTCCTCGAGTTTTACATATTGCACGTGAGCCTAAGTCCGTTGCCACACAGCTGTATACACACATTAAATTAAACATTAGTTACTGTGCACAGTTACATAAATTAAATTACTTTAAAAGTGTTATTTTCAAGTTAGTCGTGAGGTGGCGGCTCGAGATGTGGATTCGCGATACAATGATTTATGGATGACTCTATACAGGCATCAGATCCTGTCTGGCCAAATCTTTTTTCAAACTGCCTCGAAATTATCGACAATTTAAAATGTTCTAAAGTACGTTCCCGTCAGGCCCCGAATTACAATCTACGACGATGACATCTGCTTCATTCATTGACTAATTGATGAAACTCGGAATTTAAATCAACAGAATGTCTATTGGGGATTGACCCAATTCTGAACCCCAATCAAATGACGAAGATGCCACTTTAACCCAGGAGCGGTCGCGCGGGGCACAGAATCACCCCAGGTTCACGAAATTATTAATTCTGGGAACACTGCTTACTTGTAACCAAATATATTGTCATTATCATCCTATCTAGCAGTCTTCAGGAAAGTGAAATGTATATTTGTCAGATATCTCCCTATTTTTTGGGAATGAAAAACTTTATTTTTAGAATCTTAAGGAACTTTTGAATGACTGAGTTCTCCGCGCGACTACTTTTATTCCAAAATGTTTTCTATAATCAGGCTACTACTTAGTGCTTTTGATAGATGTGTTGTTCGACTTATTATGTTTTATAAATGTAAGTGAACAGAACATAAAAAAGGGGGGAAATGGACATATGTGATCTCTCTATTGGATAACGTTGACATATCAAGCAAGGGAAGCACCTGATGAAATAACGGATATTAATAATGATAGCGAAAGTAAATTTTAGAAAAGCGATGGACACGAAACCCCAATGACATTAATTTCCTCGTTAATCATTTTATTCTTATATTAAGAATTTTTTTTTACTTTTTAGTTCGTTTCACTATAAAAATGTGTTTTTTAGTTCTTTTTTTTAAAACTGTAATTCATTTTTTTAAGTTCCGTTTGTGTGTGTGTGATTGGGTGTTTTTATCATATTATCGTAAAAAAATTGAAAAGTCCTTAAACGTAGGTAAGTATACTTTCTATTAGTTAAATTATTGACTGGAATTACAATTTTCATTGTGTACAGAAGTGCTTCTGAAACTTTCAATATACGCGACCCACTATTGAGTCATTATTTTCATAGCGCCCCCTCCATACAATACAATGTACTGAATTCAACAACACTATACTTTGAAACAAAAGCTACAATACGACTTCAAACTCGAATGTGCCACCGACGCATATAAACGTTTCGCTCAGTCAAATCATTAATTTTCTAGACGTATATATACGTCTTTCCAAAGTACGATCTTTTCTGTATAGTGCTTTCGATGCAATTATTCCGAAGGCTCTGAAATGCAATAAAAGTACTTTGACAGTGTTTGCGAAGAATTTACTTATTTCAGAGGATCTGCTTATTTATTCCTTTTCTCCTCCCCCTCAAAAGGCATCAAAATAGGCTCGTCTACGAGGAAAATGGTGGCATTGAGGAGCGAATCCCGTAACTTTTAATCGGCAGTCAAGGAATTAATATAAACTGTACAAATTATCAAGATAAATGCTAATACAAGCCCATGGGGGGGGTCACTCATAACTATCAAACTTGTCCTTAACTTAGTATTGTTAAATTTATAATAAAATAGACATTGCACACATTACTGATACATTTATAGGTATATTATATCAGTGTACAAATGTGTATTTTATATTTTATTATATCAGAAAGTGTTTTGTGTCTTTTACTTTCAGTAAATTAATAATTTTTTAAATGACCTTTTGTTTTCTACTTTTCAATATTCTCGCGCCTCCCTTGTAGAGCTATCACGCCCCCCCCAGTTTGAGAAACGCTGGTGTACAGCAAAAAAAAAATCATAAAGAAAGGATTGTGGGGACTCCGTCACCCCGAGCGACTACTAACGTTAGTATCGAGTGCGCATCTTCTCCTGGGTTAAGTGACATCACATTCTGAAGATTTCCACACCATCACATGATAGGATTTTGAATCCATAAATATATAACGTGCATCAGCCCTCTACACCTAAGAAGAGGTCTGGTTACTAAGCTGATTAAAAAAGTGTTTGGAAAACAGGAAGAACATCAAATTAATGTGGTTTATATTGTGAGTAAAAATATTTTAAAGAAAAATAACTTCCTTTCAATGTCAAAATTCTACAGAAATTTTGAAAGGCAACCCGTTTTTTAAATATGTATGTTTTTTACATACATACATGTGTTTGTGCCGGAACTATTAGCGATCCTTTATCTAATCCTCTTGGGAAATCTTTGGGCTATCATTCACGTTACTCACACCCAATCTTTGGGAAGAAGAAAATTGTGATATGTAAATTAAGTTACTATACATAGTCGAAGTTTTCTAGCTAGGAGTAGAAGAGGAGATAAACCAGAAATCAGGTGAAGTTGTTACTGACAAGTATCGTTAGTGAATTATTGTGAATAAATACTTATTAAGTGAGAGAGAGAGACGATTGTTCACTGAGATTAAATTGATATTAGATTAAATCGGATGATAGATTAGATCCTATATAAAGTAAGGATCGAGTTTGATAGTCTCCTAGTCTTTCGTGTATTACCATCATTGTTCCACTTTCGTGGTTAGTACCGAGACATTCTCTTACTGTTATTAATTGAATTTGTGTTATTTTATTGTGTTATCAATAAATAGATTAATTGGATCATGGCGAGTGTTTCTTCCCTACCTCCCACATATCTAGGTGCCCAAGAGAGAGGAGTAAACCCCTCGCATGTTAAAGTTGCAACTATTCATTCATTGGGCATTAAATATGTGTTATTTGTATTTTAGACTGAAATGTCTGTGAATTCAGAGCGCCATTCGGGGGAGAGAGGCAGGGATTTTTATGTCTTAAAGAGTATATTTGAAATATTTTATGTATGAAATTTTCCGTTTCAAATGCATCACAGTGTCTTTGTTTCGCCTTTCTTACGGAAACTTTCAGAATCGATACTCAAGGCTTAACTTAATCCCCCCACACAAAAAAGGGGAAAGAAAAGAAATAATTCTAATATAGAGATGTTATTGTCGTGTGTTTTTATCCTGGGATACATATGAAATACAAGTGAAAAACAGAAAGCCTACAATACAAACAAAAGAATATAGACATTTATTACAAATGATATGATCCCAGCATAGAACAGAAGGGGTGCACTGCCTTCCATTCAAGACGGGAATCCATTACAGGCGAAAGTTCGACTTTTTTTTCCGAAGAGAATACAACCAAGCCTTGCTCGGGATTCGAACCCGAATCCACTCGGTTACAAGCCGAGGATCTTATTTACCATACTGGATGGGCGGCTGTTTAATAGATTTCTGACTGAATAAAAAGAAAGTAAGGTGTTTCAAAATTCTGTTTTTGTGTGTGTGTTTTTCTTAAATAAATCATATGTTTGTAAAATTTGTTATCATTTTTTTATTTGTTTTGAAAGCATCCTAAAAGAAGCGGACAATTTATTTCTGCAACATTTATGTCAAATTGAAATAAACAAAATTTTAATGTTAATTGATATAATTATTTTTTATCACGTAACATGTCTATACATTAGTAACAAAAGTATAATAACACAATAATAAAAGTACTTTAACAAAATGTACAATAACTCGTTGTAAAAGTAATATTACAGTTACAATTTAAAAATTTGTTTTTAAAGAATAATTTACTCCTAATAATATATATATATATATATATATATAAGTCGAATTTTTTTAAGAAAAATATTTTCCTTTTTCTATTTACTCTGTCACAAACTCTTGGGTAAAAAAAGAGCACAGAAGAATCGAAACACATTTCATTTGAGACATTCTCCTTTACTATAGGGTAGAAGATTCTACACTCATGTCCATAAATTAAGGGTAATGAAGTTCAGGCAAAGAAAGAGACAGAAGAGAAACAAATTTGACTTATTTGTAAAGTATATTTATTAAATAAAAGGCAAAGAGCAAAAAGTATGCTATATGTCTGACATAATTAATAAAAAGTGCGATTTTTACTCCCTGGAGCAAATTTCAAAAAAGAACCTATTTACAAAAAACAGTATAACATGGTTAGTATGATGGTTAATACGGAGTATGTCTCCCGGACGATGCAATACAGGCCTTACAACACCTAGGCATGCTGAGTATCAAATTATCAATCTGATCTTAGGAATATTACACCACTCATCAAGCAATGCCCTCCGAAGTTCCGGTAGACAGGTGGGAAGGGGTTGACGGGCTGCAATTCATTGGCCAAGCATATCCAACACATACTCTATTGGATTCAAGTCTGGTGAGTATGCTGGTCAATCCATACGAGTGATATCTTCCGATTGAAGGCATTCGTCTACAATGTTTACACGGTGAGAACGGGTGTTATCATCCATAAACAGAAATTCAGCACCCATGGTGCCCCGAAACAAACGTGCATGTTGTTCCAGAATGACATCCCGATAGATGTGGCCTGTCATCATTACACTCTGAACATGCAGATCAGTTCTGGAACCAAGAATAATTCCTCCCCAAACGCGAGCCATCCTGCACCACCGTAACGGTGTCGTTCAATGGTGTTCTCTTGGCGGTAACAGGTACCTGGCGCTTTCCATATTAAAGTCCGGACACGGTCTGCCTTAGAACTGTCGTACCGGTAGCTGAAGAGAGCTGACGAGACAGGTCTGATGCTGTGCTCCGTCTGTTTCTTTTGGCAGTAACTGCCAAATATATACCGGTCCTCATTCAGCGTTGTAACTCAGGGTCGACCTGTGCTGTAACATCTACTCTAATTACTATCATCTTGGAATCGTTTCCAAAGCCTGGAGATGACACTCTGGGCGATTCCAAGTTCCTTGGATACTTCCAGCTGGTTACGTTCACATTCCAGTCGTCCAATAATTCTACCACGTAAAAAATCCTCCAAATGCTTCCTTTGTGCCATAACTATGTGGTTATTGTACTGAAAAGCTTTTAAAGCGCTTGTGAACAATTTTACTTCTTTGCCACCATTCCTTATTTACCCCTCTCTTACACTCTCGTCATTGTGACGTACCATCCGCACCATCTGGTGGTTTCCTGTAATTTGCATATTCTTCTTCAAGATGTGTGTGATAATTCTACAAGTGAAATTTTTATTTTAGAGTTCAATTCCTGTGTGATTCTGAATTACCCTTAACTTATGGACATGAGTGTATAACAACCCACTTCTTTACTCAATTCTGAAATAAAACGGTTGAAAAGAAAACAGTATTTCTTTTTAAAACTATAACCGTTTATAAACGTTGATTGTTACGCTATATATATATATATATATATATATATATATATATATATATATATATAAATCAGGGGTTCTCAAACATTTTCTTCTGGGCCACATATATATGTCAGCTATTTCAAGTGGGCCGGCCGCATGCATATGTTAAGTTATTTCACGCGGGCCGCAACATAAGGATAAGTGGGGGGAAGGGGAAGAGAAATGTTTTAAGACCAATATAACATTAGAAATTTAAAATGTGGTAAATTGATCAAAAATATTATAACTCCTGTTTTGATTTTTTAATTATTATTATTATATATATATATATATATATATATATATATATATATATATATATATATATATATATATATATATTTGTCAATAACACTAAATTAGTAGCATTTAAGAAGCACTCTTTTCCAATTTCTGCATCAATAAACGGTTTCATATGATTACCAATATTATAACAAACTTCATAGAATATCTTTGTTACTAGTGTGATATTGCCACTGATGAAATACTTTATTGCTGTTGCAAAGATTATTCAAGAAAGCCTATTTATCACTTCTTTAAAGATCTTCGAGGAAAAGTGATATTGAATGGTATTTTTTAAAACAGCGCTTCCTTGACAAATCAAACAATTACTGACCCATGTTTGTTTTTCACTGCAAAATAGTCAACCTCCCGTCTTGAAACGATATATTTTCCTTGAAAATTTTTCGCTTGCAAAATGTATGAAAGATAGTTAAAAATTAGATCCCCCCCCCATGCACACAATTGTCATCACTTCACTGCTGTCTGTTATCAAAAACCGTAGCCATTCCAAATACAAAAAGATTATCAATTCGTACCCGTACGACACCAATAACAAAAAGCAAAACTGATATGTTTGATACCTTGGAAAAAAAAACTCCCCCTCCCCAAATTTTTAATACGATGTTCTTAAATAAGAAAATTTCTCAAAGCAATGGGCCATTACCGGCCACTTTAAAAGGCTGTGTGGACCGCATGTTGAATTATTGAAAGATTCAGACATTTGCAACAAGTCTGAAATTACATTTTTGCAACTTTGATCAAAGAATCGAATGTGCCTTAAAATTCCAACATCTGAATGTATATTAAGTTGGGTACGAAAAAGTGCATAAAGAAACTGGAGAACAAAAAAGCAATAAAAATAATAACAGATTTTTTTTGTTGAAAAAAATCAATCCATCAAAAATATTATTGGTAGGGGAACATTTCATTGGATTCAAAACATAATATGGACGTGTTTGATCTATCCAGTGAGGAAAATTATTTCGATTTATCTCATTGTAGCAAATGAGTTTGTTAGTAACAAGTAGCAAACAAGTTTATATAATTTCAAAAATTTTTAGTTTAAAGTTTTTGGAGAAAATTGCTGTCCACCTCTCTTCGCTGACTCACCAAGTGCTCCTCGCAGACCTCAAGTATAGAGAGAAGCGTTGCTATTAACTATGATAGTGTTATGAAATTTCTTTAATAAGTGCTTAAAATAGCGTAAATAGTTTATATCTGGATGTGTAATGCGTTTAGATTACTCTCTGTTGTATTTATTTTATGCTAAATTTGTAGTGAGTGAGTGAGTGAATATTAACATCGCACTATTCAGTTACACGAGGGCTTTTGGCGACGGACCACGTAATTTTGAACCATGGTCTGCTAAATTTGTAATATTAATAAGAAACTCCGTTCCTTACATTTTAATGGCGATTCAATGGAAACTTGGCGAAATCTCGGCGTTAGAACTAAGTTGGCATCATTTTTGGTGACCACGTTGGGGGCCATTTTTAGCGAGTTCATGACCATATGGATTCTTCGGATCCTTCTCGAAAGATCCTTGAGGCATATAAAAACGGAGTCGCTCGTCAAAACTGAGTCAGTATTGTTTTTACTAGCGATTAGTTGATTTTGATTTGACCACGAAGAGACGATCAGCGATTAGTTTTTATATAGCTGTTGAGAAGGATGAGCGAATAATCTTGAAACATACTTGTATTTTAGACTGATTGTTGTATCTTAGCACCGTAGAAGGCGTGAGGATTGTTTTTGACAATGAATTTCCACCGCTCCTGAAGAACTGCCTTGTTCTTTGCGACTGATGGCATAAACTGATAGCGATCTAAGTAACAATAGCAAATTTGATTATCTGGGGGATAGCTTTCGACAACAAATTGAACTGAAAGATCACATTGAATAAATTTCACGCCACTTTCAAGGTAAAATATTTGTTTTAAAGTGCCCAGTTGGTTCCCTCTTTGGAGATATTATATATCAAATTTAGACACAACTTGAAAGACTTTTATCTTACCTTTAACCATTTATTGCTGTGAATCACTTATTTCAGCAAGTGAGTGAATATTAATGTCTCACTATTCAGCTACATGAGGGCTTTTGGCAACGGACCTCGTCATTTTGAACCATGGTCAAATGACGAGGATGACACCTGAGCTAGCACCCCACTCTCCTTCCACACCACACCAAGTCATTTGAGCTCTCCACAGATTTAACTTGCATTGTTCTCCTACACGGCAGGTCTGTAGCGGTACTGGGCTCGAACTAATGACAAGCCTGTCATGATCCTATACTTTGACCACTGGACTACTGCATCCCTATTTCAGCAAGTGATCTAATGTTTTTTAAAAAAATGAAACTTTTATACAAAATCAGCTACTGTGACTGTAAAATCGTTTGATGGCATGCTTTTTCTGATTAACAGTAAACTTATTAAGGTATCCGACTACGCTCGGAACCGTGATTTTAAAAAAGCGCATATATGGATCATTTTCATGATATTTAGTGTCACTTAGATTAGAATACATGTATAAAATTGTTTTAAGGAAATTTTGACAAAAAAATATTTAAATACAATATTTTGGCAAAAATTACCTTAGAATAATGTTTTTTCAAAATGTTCTTTTATGAAAAATAATTTATATATACAGTTGACAAAATGATTATTTGTACACCACTTTTTTAGTTTTTGATGAAATAAATACCCAAATTTTAGTTGCGAATTAATCCTGTACTTCTTGAATGCGTTTAATTGT